TTGATGAAGTTTTGTTCTGTGAGTTGGATGGTTTGATTGTGGAGCTTTCATCGGTCTTTTGAACGACATCATCATCAGCCCAAACTTCAGGTAGAAGTGAAGTGTTCGAACTTCTCCACATTATTTTTCCATAACATCGACGTCTACAGGATAAGCTGTGAACCATATATAGGGAAATTCGAAAACTTCACTTCTACCTGAAGTTTGTGTTGATGATGTCGTTGAGAAGAACGATGAAAATTCTATAACCAAACCATCTAGATCAGAGAACAAAACTCCATCAAAATTCAAAATTCATACTTGATGGAAAATGTGAGAACTTTCACGTATCTAGGAGGCATCATCGATGAACAAGGAGGATCTGATGCAGATGTGAATGCAAGGATTAACAAACCAAGTGCAGTATTCCTACAATTGAAGAACATATAGAACCTAAAATAATTGTCAACCAACAGCCAAGTAAGAATTGTCAATACGAACGTCAAGTCAGTTAGTCCTACAATACGGGGCTAAAAGTTAGAGAACTACTACAACCATCATCGAAGAGGTACAACTATTTATAAATAGTTGTCTACGCAAGATATTTAATACCCATTGGCCGGATACCATCAGCAACACCATTCTGTTGCAGAGGACAAATCAGCTTTCAGATGAAGATGAAATTAGGAAAACACGTTAAAAGCGGATAAGACATAGACTACGGAAACCACCAAACTGCATCACGAGCCCAGCCTGAAGGGAAATGGAAAAAAGGAAGACCGAAGGACACACTACGTCGAGAAATGAAAGCAGATATGAGAAAGATGAAAGAGCTGGAAAGGAATGATCAGGACACGGATGGATGGCGAGTGTTGGTGGGCGGCCTATGCTCTTCAATGAGGAATAACAGGAGTAAGTAAGTCAGTAATTGTTGTATACTAAAGTGTAATTTGTTTGATCCACAAAGCAGTGGAGCATCGTAAGGAGATGCAGTCCCATGGTAGCCGGTGACCAACGATTGGTTCATACGCCGTTTGTTCCTTTAGGATACTGGAGCCCATGTGCACCATTGGTTTGAGATCGGTTAAAGGGCCGGACATTCGCTTTTCGTCCTCTCATTATCGTAAACAACACCCCGTTGATGGGAAGGCAGTGAGTAGGACTTCCCTGGAAGAGGCTATATACGCGTGGCCATGTAAGAGCATTTGGAGAGGGAGAGTGGTCTCTCCCCACTCTCGACCGTACTAGAGAATTTGGGGGCAAAGTACGAAGCGCCCCCGGGTGTGCTCGAACCACCAACCTTTCGGTTAACAGCCGAACGCGCTAACCGCTTGCGCCACGGAGGCGATTGAGCATTCATTCGGCATATCAAATTGTACTACAATCGCATGTCCATTGTGTTTGAACTCTAGATGTTTAGAATGTAATCTTGAATGTAAAAATAAACTCGAATATGTAGTTTTCGTCCAATAAATAAATAAGAAATTGACAAAAAGTGATGCAACACATTTAATAATGTGGATAATCTCAAGGTAGAATCAATTACAAAACTTGAATATCCTAGGGGATACAATATCTTTAGTTCACTGAATAAGTTAGTCAATCAGTCAGTAACAACGTAGAACTTCGTACGTACGTACTAACATACATCATTTCGAATTGCCATACCATATTAGCACAGAGATACAATTGTCAATTCAAATCCCATGGTGGTAAAGATAGTAAAAGTATAAGCAGTAATCGGGAAGATCAAAGTCTGAAGATGTTATTCAAGAAGTATAATCCAGTGAAATAAATTTGGATCAGTGTCTAATGATTACTATTTACTATTTACTTTGATTCGATCCTGTCGTTAATGTTTCCTGTCTCATATTCAAAATGATTGAACATCAGTGATCACCAAAATTTTCAAATATTCATATTCAAACTAGTCACTACTGAGAATATCGAAGATCTTCAGAAACTATTAATGAAAGTACTTATTAGTCATGAAACTGTATTATTTTGTAAAACTTTAGCTTAATTCAGTCTGATCTTCTTCAAATAAACCCTATTCATATTAAACATTCAAACTCAATGCAACTAATTATTCATTACATTCTATTCATCAATTGCAACCCCTATATAGATAGTAGTGACTATTCAGAAGTTTCTGTTGTGTAATTTAACCACTACACTAAATTATCCACAATCTTCAACAAAAGTAGCTTCCTTAAAACACATCGTTATACTTCAAAATGTGAAGTGCTCATGGGTTTCGAGGAAGGACAATATTGGAACGATGTAGAGACTATGAACTATGAAACTATGGCAAAGCAACTAAAGAGTTTAACTTATAAAAGAATACCAATAAACATTTTGACTAACTGAAAACTAAGAAGAGGTAATTGCATATTACTACGTTTTCCAGCAAGTCACTCAGTCATAAACAACGCAAAATCTTGTACATATGATCATCAGTTCAACTTGCCACACCACTTTAGCAAAAAAGATGAAATTATTAAGATAAATCCAAAAACTAGTAGAAATAGTAACAGTATCAGCGGTAGTAGAAAGAATGATTAAGCATAAACAATACGATTAAAAAAGAGTGAATGGATCTGTTTTACTGAGTCATCTTACCACTACTGATCATGTCGTATAGACGTATTAACAGGGCTAAGATCAACAGTCAACAATTTCCTAGAATGATCCTACATTATAGTTTAATCATTGTCACATTTTCTTCAAATAATTGTTACACTAAACAACATCATGTACCAATAGCTTAATGACTTTAACAATCGAATTCATTTTAACATAAAATTACAGAACATCTTAGTAAAATCGGAGAACCATACAACAAATACTTCACTTAAAAAATGTCGATCAATCGTCTCATACTTCATTGTTTTTTCGTTTCCACACAAATCATTCTCGTTTCTTTGATCTTCTTAACCTTCTGCCTTCAGGCATTTCACTCTCGACTGATCATACATATTACTTATAACTATTGATATCAGTAGCATACATCACATCAATATCTTAACAGTGCATAAATTTCTGATTCAAAAACCCTTTGATCACAATCTTTTAACTATACTACCCCTAACTCTCGGTCTGAATTGTCGGAGAAATGAAAATCTCGCAAATCCAATGACTGTGATGATCTTGATGGTGTTGTAATAGTATTGCGACAGCAGACAATGGGTTTTAAGCGTTATTTAAGCAATAACACTTCAGGCTGGACTATTTCGTTTACTACCGTACATATGTGTTGTATGCAGTATAAGCTATATTGCTATGTTCAGATGAAGGTCTCACATGAGACTGGAGGTTCGCCAATGATATTGTGGATAATTCGGCATTACTTTGACAAGTTTTGCTGACTATTCATGCACAAAATTGGTTTGCTGGTTAACCGATTTCATACATACTGGTGGTTGCTTTTCAGTGCTCTCAAGGAAGATTGTCATTGGGACATTGTAAGGCATGTCGCCATTGTTAACATGAATGATTTAGACTGTCATGTAAGCGGAATAGGTCAACTTTGGCTTGTTCGTACTGTGCAGAATTGATTCACGCGATCATTGATCGGAATAATTATTATACAAGTGACGTGAATGTATATATGAATGATGCGAATGATTCATCGGGGTGCTTGGTACCTGTGTGGTTGAGTCACAGAATTGAACTGTACTATTCAGATTGTAGCGTTAAAGCCTATAGGGTATCTGGTTCTCCTATGAAGCGATATTGAGCTGTACTACTTGGGTTAAAAGACTTAAGTCTGAGAGGTATCTGGCTCTCCTGTTAAACGAGATTGAGCTGTATTGTTTAGGTTATCACGTAAAAGTCTGGCTGGTTTCTGAAACTCCTGAAAATCAATGTAAAATTACCATAGCCCACAAGTAAAATTCCTTTAAAACAAAGTATTCAGATTTTATTTGATACTTTTGTATTGAGCTACTGTTTACTTAATATACCTCACTGAATAATGCTCCAAGACCTATTCAAAAAGTGTTCAATTGGTTCGATTCATGTAATCTATCATTCAAGAACAAGTATACTTGCAGATATACATCAATCTGACCCAAAAAACCCTGAAGTTTATCTTTAACATATGAAGTTTATGGAGCTCCCAAAAGCCCTGGTACGAAAGAGAGTGGGGAGAGTCCGTTCTCCCTCTCCAAATGCTCTCACATGGCCAAGCGTATACAGCCTCTACAAGGAAAGTCCTACTCACTGCCTTCTCGTGGCGGGGGTGTTGTTTACGAAAATAAGAGGACGAAAAGTGTTGGGATGATCCAGAGAAGTTCTCACAAAAGACACTCAAGGATCAGGAGATATTAAGAAGCATTTCATCCAATCAGCGTTCACTTGGAGTTTAGCCAGAAAACGTCAAGGGGTGAGAAACGTCACATGTAGAGATTCTGATTGGTTGATTGTTATACTGCTACTATGTTTAATAGCATTCCAGAATCTTTGAGCAACCCAAGGACATTTAGAATATTTTCTGTATTAAGAGGAACCTTGGAGTAAAGTACTTTTCACAGACATTGTGCCTTCTCTCTCGTGTTTAGGTCGCTGTATAGTTCTAGCTTGGGGATTTCAGAATAGCTTAAGAATCAAGTATAACGTTCAAAATCGCAAGGCTTATCAATAAGCGAATATCCGGCCCTTTAACCGGATCTCAAACCAATGGTGCATATGGGCTAGTTCCAGTATCCTAAAGGAACAAATGGCGTATGAACCAATTTCTTGGTCACCGGCTACCAAGGAACTGCATCTCCTTACGATGCTCCACTGACTTGTGGATCAGATCTTCAGGTCAAAGGCTCGGGGTGTGGCCCCCCAAGAAAACCACCTGGTTCAGCTTGGGCACCCGGGTAGTATCACAGTCCTCACACATATCAAATGAGATTCGTGTGGCGCATATATATTTAATGCCTCCTTGTACCAATATCTATGTGTTAATATAAATAAATAAATAAATAAATAGAAGCTTATGCAAATCTACATGATATTTTTATATTACTTACCTTAAGTAAATTTAAATCATCTATTGTAACAGTATCTGGTCTTAATTCAGCTAATAAATCATTGAATACATGAATATTTGTTTCAACAATAGATAAATCTTCTGTTAATTTAATACGTTGTAATGTATTCAAATGACGTACAATACCTTCTTCATCAAATTCCATTTCATCATTATTATTAGAATTAGAATTAGAATTAGAATTCATTGAATAATTTATATTGATTGGTTGATATTTATTATTAGATGATGGTATAGAATGTAATTGAGATTGTTTTGGATAAATTAAACAAGATGGTTGATGATCTATTAAAAATTACAAACAATAGTAGTAATAATATACGTTCTTATTCATAATGATCATAAGGAAAGTGAATATTTGTAATATAAGAAAAAAAAATACTTCATTATATAATGTGATAATACTTACTGTAGAAACTTTATGATTGTGGATGATATTTCATAAGATATTTGTTGAAATCAAATTTCAGTAAACAGATTAACAATAGTATGGAGGTAGAGCTAACTGAAGAGTCTCATGTAGGACGAAACATGTGTGTCAGCAATTCCACTTACTTATTTGCTTCCTTACGCTTGTTACTCCAAATGGAACATAGACCACCGACCAGCATTCTCCAACCCACTCTGTTATGGGCCTTCTTTTCTAGTTCTATTCAATTGTTGTTCATTCTTCTCATATCTGTCTCCTTTCCTCGATGTAATGTGTTCTTTGGTCTTTCTCTTTCCCTTTGGCTTTGGGGATTCCATATGAGGGCTTGCGTTGGTGACGCAGTTAGTTACTTTCCTCAATGTGTGTCCTAACCACTTCTAGCGATTCTTTCTGGTTTCTTATTCCGCTGCAATCTAGATTGTTCTCTCCCACAGTAGGTTGCTGCTGATAGTGTCTGGTCAACAGATCCGAAATATTTTGCGTAAATAACTGATAATAAACAGTTTTATCTTCTGAATGATGGCTTTCGTAGTTCTTCAAGTTTCCGCCCCATTCAGTAGAACTGTCATGACATTTGTATTGAAAATTCTGACTTTGGTGTTGGCTGACAGACAGTTGTTTTGAGTTCCATATGTTCTTCAATTGTAGATATGCTGCTCATGCTTTGCAGCTTCGCTATTGACTATGTTATATCTAGTCCTTAGATTCATAATATACTACGTACAACTTGAGCACCCGAATGATAGAACTCTCTCGAATCTCAAATGAGAAGATAGAAGATAAATGAAAGGAATGCTATTCCAAAACAGTGTGAATTATAGTACAAAATTGTCAGGTATTTATAGTTTTTAGTAAAAATGAAATCATTATTATAGTCCTCCGATCCGCATACAGGAGGTTATTAGCATTTGTCCACCATGAGGGCTACACCTGAGGATCCTGGAATATTCTTCCAAAAAATGATTGGATGGAATTTCTTCGTCTCTTTCTGAGCTTCTTAGAGCTTTGTTGAGTTTATCCGTGGGTCATCCTCACAGACCATAATTCAAATTTACACCCAAAACTATTAATGAGTTAATTTTATTATTAAATTAAATGATTGTACTTTTGTATTCAACTGAGTGCGATGCATGAACTAATGCTATATATGGTTGAGTAATCAGTTCTTTACACTTATGGCGTAGATATCTCGTTATCATTGATATGTACTCATAATTTTACACCATCTTATTATATGAGTAAGTTAAATTTGGATTGTATAATTAAAGGTTATCTAATTTCTATGTTGTGTTCTTTTCTGACTACCGGTTGAATGAGCGTGGCAGAACTGTATTCTGGACTCAGATGTTAAGTAGATAACGTGATGGAGTTCGAAGTGAATGGTATTAGGCTCGAGTTTCGGAATGATTATCAACTCTAGGATGCAGGTACATCCAGCTGATAAGTTCCAAATGAAATGAGACGTGCATCCTAGATCTCACTGCTACCCATCATCCATTTTTGTTTATAATTATTATCTAGATTCTATTCCATTCTTGATTGGTAAATTCTATTACAATTTCCGTTTTTGTTGATTCATCAAGAATCAGATTTTGTAAAATGGATAAATTTACGACAGTAAATGAAACTATCAAAAAGAAATATTTTAATAGTTGAGATCATTAGTCGATTGAAGGTAGACCACTATGGAAAACCTGGAAGCATTGGACAGCTGTTTCGTTCTAGTGTAGGACTCCTCAGTAGTGGGCATCCACGACCTCGCCCCCTGCGACATTCGAACCCAGGACCTATGGGTCTCGCACGCCATTGCTTTAGCTCTAGACCACTAAGCCGGCATCTAACGGTGTTAACGTCTAACTTCAACTAATCCACGAAATTGAGCGACACATCCACCAGTGTCTTCAATGAGTAATTATCTCACAACAGACCCGGTTTAACTCCACTGGTCACTGCTTCTGACTAGAACTCCAGGAAATTTCCAGAAAATAATAATAATAGTCGGTCAAGAGGTTAATTATAATCAGCGTATAAATCTATAGTAATCTTAGTTGTCATACAATATTAGCAAAATGAAGTGAGAGTGATTAAACAAACACTATTATTCAAAATAAAGGTCTATATGAGGAAATAATAAAACATCTAGAAGGATGATAAAAAGTGAATAAACCTGAATCATTACGATATCATTCAATGTTTCTAACTATTTCATACGATAATCATGCAAAAAAACACAAACCAAGTAGTTTTGAATCTATTACCAGGGTTTAATATAATTGTTGATAATTTCATGAAGTGATATTGGAAGAAAGTTAGGGGCGGTCAAACCAAAACGTCGCATCAGTGCTTGAAGTCACTAACTTCTAGTTTTAGCCATGTTGGTAGATTCAGACTACTTGGTGTGGGTCGGTGTGACTATCGTAACCAATGGTTGGAGACTCTTGGTGATATAGCTCAGAATCGATCACAATGGCTTGAGTGTGTGTATACACTCTCTGTCTTCCTTTAAACTGAGAGATAAAAATCGCTTCATATCTTTGTTTCTACAAAATAATTGTTTAGTCCTGTACTATGTCCTTATATGCAATCTTTCTTTTATATATTACCACCACTGAATTAACTACTTCTATGAATCCGGTGTTCATCTTGTTGTACAAATGAGTGAGGTATAGCAACTTGGACCGATGCATATATGTGCCTGGTCCTACGTTGCAGCTGACTGACTGACTGACTGACTGACTGATATTGGATTATGGTTTAACCGTCATCACCTTTTTCTATTACCCATTAATAATATCATTATTAAATATTATCATGATGGTTTATAGTGTATAACTGACCCATTTATTTACAATATGCAAAAAGACATCAACTGAACTAATAATTCGATAGTACTGTAAGGATATTTTGTAAATGGGTTTGCATGTACATGTGTTAAAATCCAACCGTCATCTCCCTCCCCCCCCCATACATACACACACACATCAGTCAGTCAGTCAGTAACAACGTGGAACTTCGTACGTACGTACATCAGTTCGAGTTGCCATACCACATTAGCACAGAGATTCAGTTATCGATTCAAATCCCATAGTGGTAGAGGTACTGAAAGTATAAGTAGAGATAGGAGACATTAAGGTTTGATGATGTTATTAAAGGAGTATAGTCCAGTGGAATAAATTGGGAAAGAAAATAAACGACATGAAGAATTCAGAAGATTAGAGTTTGAGAGAATACAAAGAGTGGATGCACCTGCGCCATTGCAAACGATTTTGAGCCATGTCATTCAAGGTCTCTAACCATCGGTTGCTATCGTCTCGCGGTCCCCAACCAGGTAGTCTACACCTACCAACATGACTCAGTCCACTTGTCAGTGACTTCATGGATTTGTGCCATGTTTTGGTCTGGCCGCCCCTAGCTTTCTTCCAACCTACTCCTACACCATAAAACATCGCACGTCGTGGCAGTCGGTGGTCGGGCATGCGCAACACATGTCCCAGCCATCTCAAATGATTGAGTTTCACTACTTCCTCAATTGATTTTCCATCCTTACCTAGTACCCGTTTCCTAACAACTGAGTTACTTACTCGGTGGTCCCAGGATATACGAGCAATGCTTCGAAGACATCTATGGTCAAATACTAGTAACCTACGAATATCCTCTACTCTTACCGGCCATGTTTCACTGCCATAAAGTAGGACGGAACGAACTGCTGCGCAGTAAACACGTCCTTTGGTTGATAGACGGATATCTCGCCTACGCCACAAATGACGCAAGTTGGCAAAAGCTAGTCGAGCCTTTTGTATCCGTGCTGAGATTTCGTCACACACCAAACCACAAGGGCTGATGAGACTTCCGAGATAAGTGAAGCGGTCGACACGCTCAACTACTTCACTCCCTATCACTAGTTCGGGTGTCGACGCGACCCAATCCTGAAGCAACATTTTGCATTTCGAGGGAGAGAATCGCATGCCGAACATGCTTGCATTGTTGCTTAGAGTGGTCAGTAGACTCTGCATTCTGTCAGCGTCTTCACTAAATAGAACTATGTCATCGGCATATTCTAAGTCAACAAGTGGATCTCCCGGTAGAAGTTCAACACACACATACCTCTATGCACACATTTTATGTAACAGTAAACCTATGTCTTTACCCTTAAATCCAAAGTTATAATGATTAGCATCCTCATTCGTGAAGTCCACTTATACTTTGACCCAACAAGAAATTGTTTCTATTTATTTTAGTCTCAATTTTCTAGTGTGTCAACTTATTTGTAGGCTTTTTTTTGAATGACTATGTTTAATCTGTTTTGATTGCCTTCTATATTTGTTAGATGTATCTTTTTCAGTTGACAAGTAACTTGTATATTCATTTGAAGTTTAATTAATTGACGTTTTTACAGCACATAGTTCGTACAAAATGTCAGTCAGTCGGTAACAACGTAGTACTTCGTACGTACGTACATACCATACCACATTAGCATAGAGATGCAGTTGTCGATTCAAATCCCATAGTCAGTCAATCAGCTACAACGTAGGACCAGGCACATATATGCATCGGTCCAAGTTGCTATACCTCACTCATTTGTACAACAAGATGAACACCGGATTCATAGAAGTAGTTAATTCAGTGGTGGTAATATATAAAAGAAAGATTGCATATAAGGACATAGTACAGGACTAAACAATTATTTTGTAGAAACAAAGATATGAAGCGATTTTTATCTCTTAGTTTAAAGGAAGACAGAGAGTGTATACACACACTCAAGCCATTGTGATCGATTCTGAGCCATATTATGTGGACCCTAACCAAGTAGTCTGAATCTACCAACATGGCCCAGACCAGAAGTTAGTGGCATCAAGCACTGATGCCACGTCTTTGTTTGACCGCCTTTAACTTTCTTTCACTCATCCTCAAGGCCGGTTAGCATTACACATCGTGGTAGTCGGTGTTGAGGCCTACGCAACACATGGCCCAACCATCGCAGTCGATGAAGATTCACAACCTCATCAGAAAGTATAAGCAGTAATCGGAAACATTAAGGTTTAAAGATGTCATTCAAAGAGTATAATCCAGTGAAATAAATTTGGAAAGAAAAAACGGGATATAAAGAATTCAAAAGATTAGAATTTGGGAGAACACAAAGACTGGATGCACCTGCGTCATTGCAAACGATTATAAGCCATGTCATTCAAGGTCTCTGACCATCGGTTGCTATCGCCTCACGGATCCCAACCAGGGAGTCTACACCTATCAACATATCTCAATCCACTTGTCAGTGGTTCTGAAAGATCAAATTGTTTGATCGATACCTAACAGGATAACGTTCCTGATTTGTCGGGGATATATTTCTTCTTTTTAATAAGTAACTAATTACAACTTTTTTGATAATTTATTTCTTTGAAGTACCTTAAATTTGATAGTCCGTATTTTTTTGGTGGGACTACAACTTATACACAAACTAAATGTGTTCAAGGTATAAACTTTCAGATTTTAGAGCGAAATTCCGTCATTCATACAGTTAAATACCACTTATGCATTACAACTTATGTTAGTTCACGAAGAAAACCTTAATTCTAGATCTAAACCTTAGTTTTTAACTTCAATTCCCAATCCTTAATGGTTAGAGTTTCTCAAGAACACTTTAGGATCCCTAAAAGCGTATCGCAATTCGTCTTCAGTATTTCTGAAGACGATATAGCTTAGTTGTGCTATACGTTTGGGTGTTTTTATGTAACTCATATACACAGTGTTCATTATTAGAACCGTAGCCAACCCAACCATTGTTATGAAATTACCTGTTGGGATGTACAAGTGCCTAACGTTTCATCAAAAGGTATACAGAAATCAAACATCAGTTTGGAAGTTACAAATTTAACTTGTAAAATACGAAAATATACGTTTCTAATCAAAATTATTTCATAAAGAGCCTTAACAACTTACCTGAGTTAGCAACCATTACAGTACAATCATTTGGTATAGTACTACTCTGTGATCTATTTTGAACTGTACCATTAAAATGTACATTACGTGTTGAACGACTGTATGAGGATACAGAAGTACCAGTAGGATGAACATTAGGTCTTGAACCAACACTATGACAAGCTAATGATTGAATATTTGATTCATGTATACAATGACAAACAGAGCATGGATGTACTACACTTGAACTTGATGGATTTACAGATAAATGATTACGTACATGGATATCTGATTCTAAATATGTTTGAAAAAATAAATAATTCAAATCATACGCTTAGATAGGAGTAAATACAAGGCAATAAGAAACAAATTAATATGGCTCTATTGAATATCAACTCCGCCTGTAGCCCCCTCTTGGGATACTGCCGGTCTCAAGCCCGGATAAAGGAGGAGGATCGGGCATGGGGTTAGCGACCCTATCGCATAGAAAACTAACTCTCTAAGAAAACGCTCACCATTAAATATCAACACTTTTAGATGTTATTCAATCATTTCACATTTTAATCTAAAGATGAATATAATTAAAAACAAAGTCACATATCAATTGAAATCTTCCGATATCTTTACAGCTTAGTGTAATATAAGAGACAGAGAAGAAGAAATCGTCATTTTGTTCTACTTAACATAATTTCTTCATTATTAACATATTGATTCATTACTCATTCCCATCAATTAGCTGGATGTTGCTAAGAAATAATATTACTAACGCAAATAATCCTTGCTGAAGGATCACACATGGCAAGAAACCTGGACTAACTCTGTAGTGTTTAGTACAATGTCAAGACCGAACGGGTCATTCTAGCTTCTAGAAAGATCAATAAATTCTTCTTGAGTCACATTTTGACATAGTCAATTATTCACTTATAACCTTAGTTATTTTTATATGAGCGTATGTGTATGCATCGCTTACCCTATTCATCATATGTCTGGCTATAAATAGTGAGTAACACCTGATCGGATCGGGTTAGCACATATACCTTACCGCCTCTTATTCTTAATACCTGGCTGGATAAACGAGTGTATGAAATATACGTATCCAAAATTCATTCCCATATTTGATTTATTTCATACTTCTCTAACGAGAATTACGTCGATAATTATGAACGAGGGTAATCGGGGTGTATATTTTGTTAACAGCACTGTCAGATCAAACTGGGGTCAGATCAGTGGGCCACTAAAATCAGGGTTGTATATTTGCGATGTTTCCTCGTTTTACAAGTATAATTAATAAGCGAGTCCGATATAGCAATCAGCGACGACCAGAAATAACAATTGGAGACGGAGATTTGGAAAAGGTTTATTTAACCTTTTGACTTATATGCTCTGCTCCTTTGTTCAATATATATATATACGATTCTCCCTCCCTCACGAAATAATGTTGCATCTTCATGTACCCACGTTACAAATTATGTGACTTTATTGACCCGAACTGTCTCAACACTATTCGCATCTTCATTATATGTGTGTATTGGGGTGAGTGGGTATACACGAACGTTAAAGCATTCTTCTGCATAATCTTCACCTGTATGGGTAATATTATACGTGATTTTTACGACTTTCGTAACAAAAAATTCGATGCAATAATTTAATTTACAATACTTATAAGCACATTTTACATTTCGACCTGTCAGTAACAACGCATGTGATTTATATTGGCTCACTTTGCCTACAAAGCATTTGAACGCAACATTTGCATGTGCTTCATAATCATTAGGATCAGTAAGCAGCCGCATTCCACATACATGTATATTGCAATTGGACTGACTCTGAGTTATTGAAACAATGCTAACCTTTTTGTGTGTGGTATTCACTTTTTCCGACTACACAAAATAAGTATCATCAGATTCGGTGGATATTTGGAAATAATTCAAACTAATACTGAAACTTCGGATGACTGCACACCATACAATTTCCAAAAAAAACGCTGAGTGCTCTGTGTAAATACATTATATTCAATAGTTTTGGAGAGATGAAATTCGCAAGCTCTTTATCTTCATTAGACCTCAGCTCTCTAAGGTCACTGCATTCTCGTCTCTGTGCTGTTTACGAAATTGAGAGGGCGAAAAGCGAATGACTGGTGCTTTAACCGGGTTGGTGGATATGGGGAGTACACTTGGGGGAGTTGGAAAACCTTGATTGAAAACCAATGGTGCACATGGAATCCAGGATAAATAAATAAGCTTCCTGAGGTAAGTATGAACTTTCAAACCAGTGTCTGGTTCAACCACCTTTATCCTAAATATATTTTTATTTCTACCATAGCAGGCATCGAGCCTTGACCCAAATTTCAAACTATAAGACTTAGGGACTAAATTTAAGCTTTTCCACCGTACGAACGGCATTCTGGTTTCGAGACTGCTTCGCAAACACTTGCTCATCATAGAAGTTGAGTAGAGATTCTATGTGATACATATGGTGTGAGAGTATCCTACACCTGTTACAATGACATCTGAAATGTGACCAGATTGTGACTCATTTGAAACATAGTTCTCACACGATTAGGAGTGAATGGATTATGGGGATAAATAACATTTGATATGGGACGATCAGAGCTATAATAAGATTTAAACCCATTGAAAACTTGTGCTTCATACTGACTAAAGTTTTCACTAGAAACGAATGTACTGTGGGAACAAGAAATATTTATGATATCGCTAGAATTTGATTCATTTAGAATATTTTTCTCAAATACATTAAGAACTGCATTAAAACCAATAAATTATTAAGATAGTCAGCATCTGATATGATATCATTAGAAATTTGACCAAAAATTGATTCATTTGAAACATTTGTCTTACAATGATTATGAATGTCACTCGATATAACTGGATAGTAAGAATAAGAGGAATCTGATAAAGAAGACATTTAAACAGTGCCGAGAGTCAACATTATCAAAGAATTTGTTCACCTCTTCCTCAATAACTAAACTGTTCCTTATTGCAACAGGAAATGTGCCAGTTACCTCGTTAAATATATCTATGATTTTTGAATGCGATTTTGGGTTCGATTGCTTAAGCATGTGTTCATTCAATGCATCGATGAGCATTAAATGAGATTTATAATGAAGCAGTGCTTTTACTTTTGCAGCTAAAATTTACATGTTCTTACACTAGTAACCGTGTTGTTTGTTGTGACAGCTACTTGACAAAAAAACAGAAGTATAGCTGGAGAAATAAGATTTGGGGTTAGTTGGACTGACAACTGAGTTACAACTGGAACAAGACAGTTATATTGGAAACTGAAACTTGTAAATTGACCGGGTCAGTGATTGTTATGACTTTCTTCTTTTCCAAATCCTCGTCGCTAATATGTTGTGACTGAGTTGCCAACTGCTATATCTGGTCGTCGTTAATTGTTAGGTCGGAATCGCTTATTACTTATACTTGTAAAACGAAAAGCCATTGCAATATCAACTATCTAACATCTGATATATTGGACCGGGATTCCGAACCACCTCCAGTAATGACCTAGTTGGAATTTAGTTGATAGCGTTTGATCGATCCAAAAGACAAATATAACGCTAATAACTAACTAGTGATCAAATATTACAAATTAACACAAAACCTAAGATACTTATGTTCTCATGAATTACTTTTTGACAAAATAATCAACTCTGCATTTTTTTTCTACAAATTATGAACAACCAAGTTGACTTGCTTTCAGCGTAATCATACAAGGATTTAAGCTTTGATATATGACGTTAATCGAGCTTTGAGTGAGAAACCTTATCATTAACACTGAATAATTACTACGTTATAATCCGAAAAATTTGAAAATGTAAAGCGCATATTTGTCAGATGTTAAACTTATAGCATTGACTTGAAAATCCCAAGAATGATCCTATAAAACTACCGAGAAGCTTTGACCTGGGTAAAACCCTATTGCCCAAAGCTATTTAAGTTTGACATTCTTCTTAAGCAGAAATCAAGTTATAAACAAAAAACCTAAATTAATCTAATCACTGGTAAACACTTCATTGAACGAAATAAAACGACCTTACCTGTTCCAGAACTTTTAACTACTACAGATCTTCCAGTTAATTTATCATTTTCTTGTGAACTAGTTCGCGGAATAGTTACTCCAGTTTTAGATGTGAACAAATTATCACGTAGCTAAAATAGTTTTTAAAATAAAAAGAGAGTAAATCATTATATTTCCAATCTTCTATCTACGGAGATGATCTATTCATATTAATATTTGTTTATACGACTATTAAGTGGAAGATTACTCAGTACAGCTGTTAGAATGCAGATACTTTGATTAAGCAAGTGTAGAGATTCGATAAACACCACTCTCTGTGTACACCTTTGCATTGTGAGACTATATCGATTAAATGTTTCCAGATTATAGCGGTCAGATAGATGATGGAAGTCATCATACTTCGGTGTTTGTTATAGAAACATCTATAATGAGATTAAAAATCCTGTACAACTGGTTCAACTTATAAGTTTTAGTAAAGCCAAAACAACCACGACATTTAATAAATTCATTTACTTTTGGCTTAATCGTTATACAAATTTTATTTAAATAAAATTATAACTAGACGAAACAAAGTAACAGTGATGTCATGAGAGTAATGACACATTTATCGTCCTGTTGGAAAAAGTTTGCAATAGATCGGTATGAAATGATTCGGTTATATGTAAATAATATATGTTAATGCTTCTAAATATAATGGGTATCAATTTGTTTTAAAAAGGATCTTCTAAATTTCGTGGAGCGGAGATCATACGTTTAGTCACACCAAAAGTTTTAAATAAATAATTTCTGGAAGCAAAAATAACCAACTTCAGTATACTTGTTGCTGAATGGTTTTGATTCGATGCAATGATTCATACTCATTTGACTCCAACTGCACTCTTCTTGAATTATAATAAATGCATCATAATGTTGAAATAGGGCAGAGTACGTAATTATCATCATTGGCTTACATCTTATAAACGTCGTCTCAGTTACTTATGTATGGATCAATATTCACGACACTGAATCTGAACAAAAAACTAAGAAAATAAGTCCAAAAAATGAAGCCGTAAAGAGGAGATTGACCGTTACACTAGCATGTGTTGTTTTATCATGACTTTGTGGAAATGATCAAAGACTGTACAGTTAGTCACATGAGAAACCAAAAGATATGATTCGAGATGGAAAATAGTGTAGTGTCGGGTGCTACGTCAAGCCCACATAGCTTGTTCTATCTTCCAGACTGGCTAATATATTCACACTTCTTGAGTCGCAATTTTGACCTTGTTAATTATTAGCGTATTAATCTTGACTGTTTGTATATGATCGTATGTGTGTTTACTGCCTACCCTATTCATCACATGTCTGTAATTTATTTTGTCCAACTATAAATATAGATGAACACTTGATTAAATTGAGTTGGCTCACTCGTTTTCTCCACCGCGCATCACTTTGCTTCACTCTCTTCGCTTCGTTTTTCCGACCGTTTGTCTGGATCAATGGATGTATGAAATATGTGTGTTTGAAATCCATTCTTGTGTTTGACTTATTTAATTTTGTTATTTACCAACGCGAGTTAAGTTGGTAACTATATGCGAGGATTAGCAACATGCATGTTTTAGTGACAATAATACAACACTCAAACTTACGCCTCTTGACGGTTTTGCTACATAACAGTCAACTGGTGCAACCGTTGGGAATTGCACTCCTTTTTGTAAAAGCGAAGCATATATTTTTTCCAGATCCCGTTTACCAGCGACATCCCAGTTACTTGATATCCAACACTAGGAAGATCGTCAACAATTTCAAAGTAATTACCTTAAGCATGTACAAAACCTTCGTTTGTAGTTGTTGTGGAGGGTCATTTTTAGGTGATAAAAGTTTTAAAAACGCATGCAGAAACTCTTTGTTGGCAACCTGACTGTGAAATCGTTTCCCACAGTTCTTTATTAAAGTTTCCAGGAGTGTTAATGTGTACCATATTGAAACATTGTCTTTGCCTGCAGAAGTGACCAGACGCTTCTTTATCGCTCTTATAGCCTCCTTAGGCCTATAAAATTAAAATTATGCCTTTTCTAAAGGCTCACCCATCATCTGTTTCATTCACTGTGTCACATATTTCCAAAATTAAAGCCCAATCTTCTGATGGCTGACCACTATCAGTCGCTCTTTCTAAAAAAAAGTCTCTTCTACACAGAAAAATTATTAGTGCACCTGTCAGAGTCCCAATTGTTGTAGAAAACGGATGTGGCTGGAAAATATTTTGCATCTAACCTCAAGGCCAAATTACAAAAATGCGAACCATTCTCGACAGTTCATGAAACTTGAATTTAGTAAGTAAGAACGAAAATGGCTAGTGAAAGGAATGCACTCTTTTATAAATGCGGATTATCTGAAACTGTAATAATTTTATTATAATAGTATTTGCACATGCAAAAATGTTTTTATTATCACGTGGTAAACTCACAATTAGATTTTTTGCATTTGCCAATATCTAAATATCCGTCAAGTTTTTTGTGTCACTTCAAGTCAAGTTCTAGGCATTTTATATTTGACATATCCTACGTGACTTGGAAACAAATAACTGCTTTCTTTTGCCTACAGCTTAACATTATTGAGTGATTCTTGATATTTAATAGAGTCCCGGAAGGTGACACCAGGTTCTTATTTGTATAGCTTTACTCCTGCCTATGGATACTAATAATCATTTTCAGTAAAGAGCATGTGAGTTATCGTCTAGTTCAGAATATGGATGAGTACATGTTTGAATTGTTTCTACGATCAGCTTTCAGATCAGCATACTGTCTCCGAGTAGAAAAATATGTATATATATTGAGATGTCATCGAACTGTACCCAAGTAATCCGTCAAACTGAAGGCATCTAAACTATAGGAGACATCATTAGTCACCGACTCTTATTCCACATATAGTTCAGGTCACAGATGACAAGCGTGGATTGGTCAGTCATCAACATGACCAGAAGCATTCTGAAAAGGAGACAAAATATGTTTTCTTTAACTTACATCATTCTAGCAAGTCATTGTAAGTTCTCTTTGGTAGCAGAATAACTTGACTGTATTGAGAATATGTCAGGCTGAACAATCCTTGAGTGGTGTGATTCTGATGTAAAATTACGTAAGCTAAGCAATCCCACCATCTATGAGAACACGTATATTCTTTTCTATATATGGTTTTAGCCCATCTGCTAGATAGATATCACTGGTATCTCTACTTTACCTAGACAGGAATCTTGTTGAGAATGAACCTCGGTTCCGTAACTGAGTACCGATATGTTTTAACTGTTTAAAATTGTCTTCGGGACATATCTAAGAACTAAGTTATATCAACATCAACGTCATTTACATTACTGAGGGACATAAAATTTAATGGGTATACAGAGCCTGCCCGTAAAGTCTTGTTAAGCGTGGATTCCTAAACCGATGGATCCAGGATTCAGAAATGAGGAGGTCGGAATGTATATTCAGAAACTGGTTTATGAATAGAAAGTCAAATGGTATATGGCACACAAAACATGATATGCTACAAATGAATGACTGCAATTGATTAGTCCAATAAAATTATTGGGGTCAGCCTCTATGTCAAAGACCTAAAACACTTCACTCAACGGGCCTATTCACGACTAAAGACATATGCTACTCTTCTAAAGCTACTATGATGCACTGAAACCTAGAAGTATTTTGAAATCAATGATCAATCTTCCTGATTTTTGTTGATTTATCGCACTTATAACCCAATAATACTGCATTTGGAGAGACTAATGTTCACTTATTGCTTTTATAGCAAGGATAAAGTTGCATGAACTGCCTCTCTCAACTACCCCTTCCAGTTAGCAGGGGTTCAAATATATCTGTGTAAATGAGAGAATATTCGCAATCATTCGCAATTTCAAACTGCAAACCGTTTAATTACCCTCTAGTACATGTAGCGACGTGGCGTTCTTTAAGCTCTTTCAAAAGAAGGTTAACCTTTCCTCTTAATCTTGTAGGTACATAGGTTCTCTAATAACAATGTTATCCTAGACTGAAATATTCTATTATCAAATAATTTGATTCGCTCTTCACTTTTAGAACGGAATTAACGAAAATTACGCGTTTCATAATCAAGATAGTTTTCCTATTTCACAAATACAGATCTCTGAAGGTCAAACATTTTCCTAAATCAGTCTACCAGACTTTGAGATTTAAAGAGCTCGATTCAAACTTCTCAAGGTTGCGGTGATTGTTTGCTAAATTTTCGTTTCTTAGACAGAGAACCTCATTGGTTAATTTCTTCCAATATATTAAAACACAACTTTGTTTTTATTAAAAAACAAATACACTAGACTTATTGCTTTTCTACTACACTGATTGAGTCGTTTAACTATATGTATACATAAGTTAATGAGGCTTTAGAAAGTTTGCTTTAACATTTACGTAAAAATTTTTCCTAAAGAACTGGAATACACAGACATGCAGTGAACTGTTTTTTTGGGTTTAGTAGGACCATCATAGCGTATCAAAAAATGTAAATCATATAATTTACATGCTTTGCATCACATAGCTGTTTTTAGCATAATATTTTTCCGAATTCTCATACCTTGATAGCATTCGTTTGTGCTTATTTTATTACAGTCGATGTCAACGCTCTTGCCACTTCGCTGACTTGTGTGAACAGACGTTCCACCTTAAGTTACCAATACTTTAATGTTTCGTGCTAATTCGAGTGAACTTTTTGAATAAAATCCAAGTTCGAGAAAATTTTGGAGAAACTCCGCGGTAAGCAACCAGACTGATGTGGATTTAGAGAAAATAAAGGTTATTGTGATGATCACCTCCATTCGATTTTGTTAGAATTATTAAGACCATTGAAAATCCATTTTTAAGGCGATTCGCATATCCGATTTATTGGGTCTCAAAGTAAAAACCACGTAAAGGTTTGGTGTGGACTTCAAAATTCCTAAATTTTGAAGACATGAAGTGCCATTCTCTTAATAACGACATATCTATATGGGACATGTTTTATATTTTGTTATCACTAAAACAAAAAGCTCTTATTCTTTGTACCTAATGAAATAAATAGTTGTCTTGATCCATTTTCATAATAAAAATATTTTTTCCTCATTTTCAGCCCAACTGTCATTTAAAGCTTAGTTGTAGTGACAGTGTAATTGTTCTCGCTGCCCACTTAATTATATTAATTTCTTATGCCTCATCATTATATTAAGGTTAGTTGTTTTGTTAACCCTTTAATTCATGGTTAAAGGTTAAATCATCTTCATGTGTTAGTGATGAAAATGGAAATGAAAATTTAAAGTTAAAAGAACTTCAGCCACCAATATATAACATCGAAGTGGATGATGTACTATCCAAATTTTCAAAGCACATAATATTACTTCCACAATCGGATCATGTACGTGTCTTGCAAACAGTTATAAGGAATAAGTATGTTCTCTAACTAATAGTTTTGATATATTTTTGTAGAGATACTCCAAGAAACGAATTCTTATTCAATGCAGATTGTCTAGTATGTTTGTTCATCACTTTTACTGTTTCCTATTACTTACAGATACGTTTAGTAGTTGAAGAAGGCTTAAATCAACTTCCCTATGAAAACGTGTGCGTTACGACCCCAACAGGTAAATTTTTTGATCACGTGTACACGTCTGTGTTTATATTGAACTATCAATTATTCTGTAAACGCTCCCAAATGCCCTGGTACGGCCGAGAGTGGGGAGAGTCCGCTCTCCCTCCCGAAATGCTCTCACATGGCCACGCGTATATAGCCTCTGCCAGGGAAGTCCTACTCACTGCCTTCTCGTGGCGGGGGTGTTGTTTACGAAAATGAGAGGACGAAAAGCGAATGTCCGGCGCTTTAACCGGATCCCCAAACCAATGGTGCACATGGGCTCCACTATCCTGAAAGAACAAATGGCGTATGAACCAATCGATGGTCACCGGCTACCATGGGACTGCATCTCCTTACGATGCTCCACTGCCTTGTGGGTTAGACCTTCAGGTCTAAGGCTCCGGGTGTGGTCCCCTAAGAAAACCACCTGCTTCGGTTTGGGCACCCGGGCAGTATCACAGCTCTCACACATATCCAATGAGATCTGTGTGGCGCATATGTATTTGTTGCCTCCTTGTACCAATATCTATGTGTTAAAATAAAATAAATAAATAAAACTGTAAACGCTAATGTTTAAATAAGGGTTTTAGTTTGATCGACTCTCATATCCAAGTGTGATGTCCATTCACCTATCAAAGGAAATACTTCATGTGCTTTGCTCTGTATTCCTTTTCGACCATAAAATACCGATGAAAGTAGAAAACATTTGTCTGTTGCGAAAATTTTATCTCGGGTTTTTTGTAGCATTACTCGTAGATGTTGTAGTTACGGAGTCAACGATGCCGAGAATAGCGTAAACCGTAGGTAAACGTGGTCAATCTGTTGATCATGATATAGGTTGTCTCCAACTTGCTTGGTTGGGACGTGTGTTACGGAAGCATAGCCTACTCTTACTCTGATTGTACTCTGAGTGCTATACGTATAAGTCCAAAGAATGGTAGGAGCAGATTTATTTTTATTTATTTATTTAAACACAAATACTGGTACAAGAGGGCACCAAATATATATATGCGCCACAACAAACAATGAAAATTTAAAGAGAAGGGAAAAAAAGGTAAGGAACGTAGGGAATTATAAAAAAAAGAGAACAATGATGGGGGAAACGAAAAGATACAATCAGAAGAAATCTTTCAGTTAAGGAAGATACAATCACGTTCTATGAAAAAAGTAAAAGGTTACAGCAGGATCGCCACTGGCTTCTATTCTGAGCCATATCTGATAACGTCTCTAGCCACTGTGTTACACCATCTCTCGGACCCCAGCCAGGGAGTCGTGAAGGACCAACAGAAGCTAGCCCTTTGCAGCTTTCTTTCATACCACGACACCATGTCATATACTGACCACCTCTCCGCTTTTTCCAACCAGTCCCACAGTCGGCAGATAATGCACGACGAGGAATTCTCTGGGACGACACTCGTAGAACATGTCCGAGCCACCTAAGTCGGTGTTTCAAGATGGTGACACCAATGGAATTATCGTCTCTGTGCCCGGAAACACGATGCCGAACCTCTGCATTACTAACTTGGTGTTGCCACTGAATGTCAGCAATCCTTCGGAGACAACGATGATCGAACACAGAGAGACGTCTAACATCCTCAACTCGGAGAGACCAGGTTTCACAAGCATAGAGCAAAACTGCTCTCACCGACGTGTTGTAGATCCGACCTTTTACAGCCAGACTAACATCACGAAGGCGCCATAGATGGCCCAGATTGGCATAAGCCGCTCTGGCTTTCAGTATACGTGCATTGATCTCATCACTCACACCACTACCAGCACTTATGCAGCTACCCAGATACACGAACTTCTCGACTACTTCTATCTGTTCACCATCCAGAGTGAGTACAGGATTAGAATCCTGCCAGTCTTGTAGAAGAACTTTGCACTTCGAAGGTGCGAAGCACATACCATACCTACGGACATTGATTGCCAACTGATTAAGTGCGGATTGCATAGCTTGGGCATTCTCGCACAGTAAGACAATATCATCCGCATATTCAAGGTCGAGAAGTCTTTCTCCAGGCAACAGATCCACACCACCATTACTTACATCTATCAGAACTGTTTCCAGAATGTCATCGATGGCAAAGTTGAAGAGGAATGGTGAGATTGGGCAACCCTGCCTAACCCCACTGCTCGAATGGAATAATGGAGAAAGGTGGTTGTATGCCCTCACTCTGCCTGAGGTGTTTGTGTATAGGGCTTTTAGGATGTTAATAATCTTCTCAGGCACACCCTTCTTCAATAGACAATCCCAGAGAACAGTTCTGTCCAACGAATCGAAGGCAGCCCTGATGTCAAGAAACACTACGATTGTTGGCCTTTGATAAATATGGCTGTGTTCTAAGAGATGATATCAGTCGATGAAGTTGTTAACTATTGCGCTGATACATTTTGAAACGTACGAATTTCCAGGTTAGAATCTACCCTATAACACTAATCTGTGTTTTAAGATATTAATTGACATTGCTTAAAATCTGTCTGGAGCAGTCACATTCATTCCTTATATCTATTGATCGTGACTTCATAGGACTTTGGGAATACATCAATCTGGGATTGCTATATATATCGCTTAGTACTGATCATTGTCACTTCCGTCTAATTATTTCGTACTGGTCAATTTTTATCAATAAAGTGACTAGTCAATGTACATATCCACATAAGAGGTCAATGGCTGCCAGAATAGCTTGGTGATATCGTCTCGGACTATGAATCTGAATGCACTGAACATTTTTATACTCCTTGCTGAAGAGTGCTAAATAGCACTAAACCTAGATCAAACGACCTACAATCACTTCTTATACAAACACTTTATATATATATATATATATATATATATATATATATATATATATATATATATATATATGATATAACTATTAACGAAACTAATTACTATCAATTTAATGGTAATCAACTTACACTGGACCTCTCTATAACAGAAGTAAGCGTATTATTCCAAGTTAGCATAGTTTATAACTGCTTTCAGTCAGGTAGGTCTGAGCAGTTATATCATATGATCTTACACAAAAAGGTATGTGTCTCAAGGCCCAACTGTATAAACCTCTGCACATCAAATTAAGTTACAGCGTTATTGTGAATCGAAACGTTTGATGAAGATTCGAGTTTCTAGCGCCACTTAATACTATCTAATATTATCGTTCGTGTGCCCCTTCATTTACACAGGACATTCATATCAAGGTATAAGTTTTCTTCGTGGAAATTGCGGTGTATCTGTTATGCGATCTGGGGAAGCGATGGAACGTGGCCTAAGAGATTGTTGTAGATCTATGCGTATCGGCAAGATATTGATACAAAAAGCCAAAGAAAACGATGATGATGCAAAAGTATATTATGCTAAATTTCCACCGAATATTGAAAATAGAAAGGTTCTGTTAATGTATCCCATTTTAGGTATGTTTCTTCTTTATTTATTCGCATTTCTTCCGATTTATTTTAATAATAGCCATAAAACTATGCAAAGTCACACTGTGCAGTAAAATTGCCCAGTTGTTTTATCCTAAGATCTTTCGACAATACTTGATTTATAATGTAAGCTTGTGAACCTCATAAATTTCGATCTCTACATTTATAGATTCCAATAATTCGTTGTCATTGTGTTCCCATTACATAACCATGGAAGTTGGTACTTTCTACTGTAACTTTAATGAATGGTTTAGTTATAGCGCTTAACTTAAATGATTGTGTTATAGATTTATAGCTCTCATTATTTATTTTGATCTGGATATCCTACCAGTATATTAAGATTTCCTAAGCAAAAACAAATCCAGCACATAAGTCTATGTAGAGATGTGTTTTACTGGTTAAAATATTCGGCTTTTGAGCGAAAAAAAATTACAGATTTCAACCCTAGTTCAATTACCTTTACAATCAAGTATTGTTACTAGTCCTCAAGTTAAAAACAATGTGATTCACTACCGATCACATTCACCTTCACTAATTATATAGATTGTATTAAAATTATCTCAAATAGTTATATTCTAGCTGATTAGTTACATTGCTTGAATAGATACCGTTAGCTCTCTTGAATTTACATCCTTTAGTTTGCGACGTCTCGATAAATGTTTGGAACGTAATCAAAATAGTAATAATAAAAAGAATAGAGGTATAAAGTGTAGAAATAGACCTAGTTGAGATCGATATACATTTATATGTTGGAAATTAATAATGAATAGTAGAACATGTGTTATAGTTACTAGGACTCGTAATCAAGAGGTTATGTAAGGTTAGTGAAATTAATAAGCGAGTAGTCGCTCAAAATGATAAAACAAATAAATTGTGTGACCATCACTAATATTATGTAGGAGATGGATATCCCAAGAAGTAATAATGACTATATTCAAAGTCCGAGGGAGGGGTTGAAAAAAGAGCTAAAATTTAAAATTAATAAAGGTGATTAGATAAACATCCAATCACCATAGCAGAGATAGGCTTGTCACACTTTCTGTATGCATAAGTCAAATCGAAAATGTTTGATAGCGATTTTCTCTTCAAAACGGAGTAAGATTGGTATTTTTCGTGCATAATTTATTTTGAATCTATTACTCGTATTCACTTCATCAATTACAACCATACTATTTTAATGAGCCATAAGATAAACTAAAGGGCTAACAGTTCATCTTTAAGTTGATTAATTTATTATAGGCTATCAAATCCCAGATTAGAAGAGAGAGAATATCTACTTTACAAGTGATCAATACCTTGTTGTATCGATAAACAAAATTGACTTAGTTGTTGTCCACAGTTTTATTCGCTTCATAATTAAACGATTCAACTTAGAGTATACAACATACTTTCAAAATCTTTCTTAACCTGTGAATATTCTTTATCACTATTCAGAAAAAAAATGAAATCCAATGGTCAAATATGACCACAGGATAAAGAAATATCTTCCTCCGTTGAGAAACATTTGGTTGATATCAAGTTAGCATTTGTAGTGTTGTATAAAAGCTTTCAAAAGCGTATACTATGGTTTATTAAAGCCTTGGCCATACGGAAACTGAAACCCCCTTTATGTGTTTTAAAACGATCTGTTCTTACCCTGGTAATACTGATTTATTACCCAGAGTGGTTTTTTATACTTTGTTTATTCTCCCAAGACGACTTTTACTTAACAAGTTAATCAGCGTGAACACTGACAGCGGGATAACCAACTGACTATGTTCCTACCTCTCTGGAAGAGAACATTACACTGTGTTTGGAGGAAAGTGTTCAACATCTCTACTGTCTCATGAAACTGTGCCACAAGGGGCTGTTCTTTCACCTCTTCTTTTCCCTTCTGCATGATCTGCCATCTTCCATAGAAAACACTTTTGTGAAATATGCGAACGATGTCATTGTATGTATGCCGATTTCTACCTCTTTACATCCCATAGAAATGGATGAGTTTTTGTCTCGTATTGAATGGTGGTCTGCTGTTAATTGTCTCATACTTAATCCTTCTAAATGTCAAGCTGTTAGCTTTAGCCTGAGACATGAACAGTACCTAAGCACCATGTTGGGATCCCATAATGCTTGTGTCATTGGAGACTCTGATAAGCACAATGTCGAAGATCAATTATCTCGATGCTACCTTTTCCTCTGATCTCTTTTGGTCTTCTCATATTTTACTGTTATCGAAGAAAGTTTTCTATCTGACTTACTACATAAAGAGGCTGCATGCTTTGCGGATTACTCGATATTTACTCTTACAGTTTGTCAATTCTTGCATGTTACCTATTATTCTTTCCTGGGCTTTTGAGAACAGATTGCTGTATTGCGAAGAGTGCTGAAGGCAATTATCAGAGTGTGTGGTGAATCTTTTGAGGTCATTATTAATATGGTTCTGGATAGACATCTAAAGTCTTGAAAACTCCTGGCAGGTATTATTTTATCAGATATTAATCATCCCCTTCATTCATATCTTTCTCCTTGTATATATTCTGGTAGAACGAAACATCAATACATTAAAATACATGGATGCAAGGAAAGGTATGAAAGTTCTATAATACTTTACCTAGCAAATATACTTTGTGTCAAATAGGTTGTTAAAGTTGACCTAGTCAATAACCTGTATTCTTAAACATGTTTCTAGTTGAAAAGACATATAGAATCAGATCTTTTTTTCACCTTTCTCTTTTCTCTTTTGTGTAAAAGTAACTTGTTGAAATACCTCGTGTTGAGAATTTTATATTGTACCAAAATATAATATTGAATAAAGCCATTCATAATAATAAGTTTTCTTTGTTACGGCTTACCTTTAATCTGATAATTACCATATGCTCGCTAGTAACTAGCATTGTGACGGAATTCTCAGAGTCCTGATGAAAAGCCGTGGCCAGTGGAGCTAATCCATGTCAGGTAGAGACAGATATCTACGTCAGTACAATGGAAGATGTTCGCGAAATTTCTTGGATCTGTTGAGGTTAGACATTAACACCGTTGGACTCCGGCTCAGTGGTCTATAGGTTAAGCGTTCGCACCCGAGACCGAACACCCTAAGTTCGAATCCCGAGGGTGGGATCGTGGATGCGCACTGCTGAAGAGTCCCGCAATAGGATGTAAAGGCCGTTTAGTGCTTCTAGGTTTTCAATGGTGGTCTAACATCAATTGGTTCATGATCTTAAGCAGAAAAATTAATCTATCCAGTTGACTTTTTAGTTTTCATATATAAATGTTCTTAACAAGTATATTATGTGTGATCAAATTGTTTGAAATGTATTGCACAAATATATCACATGATTCTGATAACTTTCGTCTTTTCATTGCACTATTTAAATTTATCAAAGTCAGTCAGTTAGTTACGGCGTAGCATCAGGCACATATATGCATCGGTCCAAGTTGCCATACCTCATTAGCACAGCAAGATGAACACCGGATTCATAGAAATAGTTAATTCAATGGTAGTAATATATAAAAGAAAGCTTGTATATAAGGATATAATACGAGAAGAAAGGGACTAATTGTTTTAAATATTCCAAATAATGTTAAAACCTTGGAAACAATTGAGTTTATTTTTCTCCTATACTATTCTATTGTAATCTTTTAGGTACTGGAATAACTGTTTTAAAAGCTCTGGATGTTTTAAGAACTTATAATGTTCCTATAGAAAATGTAATATTGCTTACTTTATTTGTATCACCACAAAGTAAGTTGAGTTCTTTTTTCTTTTATTTAATGATAGTTTCTTTGTTCCCTGAATGGTTCTAAATGTGTTAAATGTAAAGACGTTTTGACATGATCTGTTTATTCAATCATAAATTCCTCTTGGATTGTATATTGAAATCTACTTTCCTCAAACTTGATCTACCTCTTAGACCAATTCTTGATATGTGAGGATCCCCATACCATTCTATAGTAAAGTGGCTGGCATATATTTGATGAACTAGCTTGTTTGCCACAGGTTCGAATTGCTCTTTATATATATATATTGGTTTCATTAAACCAGATGGTACTTACTTAGCTTACTTACATAAAATACAACTCAATGTTAAGTAAGTAAACTATTACTTGGTGAATGAGTTGCAGTATGCTAATGATGTACTTCTTATATTAGTTATTTACACAGAGATTTCTAAGACTTCTAATGAAAGTTTGTAGTATTAACTAGGATACTTTTTAGAATGGAAACAAATCCATTCATTAACAAATTCAGGTATAATATAAAGTTTATGAACTATGAAAAGGTATATTAAACAAGATTCCGTTCATTCATTATCACTAGTATTGACTGTTAGTGTTTATCTACCATATGCACATAAAAATCTATTTATAGTTTTTTCCAAAGACAGTGCACTATAAAATGTACTTAAAGTTTGGTACATGTTCATTTCTAACGATAAGAGGTTGTAATGAATTAGATGGTGGTTGGAGGTAGTCGACAGAAAACCCTGAACCCAGGTTTCGTGCTACTTGGCACTCGTCAGCAAGGTGTACCTGTAATCTTTGGGTGAACTGATGCTCTCTGGCGGATTCGATCCCGTGTCATCCAGCTTCACAGTCAAAGGCGTTAACATTGAGCTATCCGGGCAGCGACTGAGATGTAATCACAATTGATTGGTCACTGGGTGGTGATCAATGTCATGTGTGTCAAGTCCTTATTAATGCAGATGGAATGCTATTGACCATGTTGCAATGTGGCAACCAGTCCAGGGTTTCCTTTCGATTACCTCCAACCACCATCTAATCTCAACATAGTGCACACAGTATCGAGTCACCTAGACTAGTGGCCACATCGCAACTTGGTCGATAGTATTCGATCTGCACTAAGAAGGACTTGACACATGACATTGGTTACCACCCAGTGATCAATCAATTGTGAGGTTGTAATGAAAAATAGTTTACTATCGCAAATGATGTACTCTGAAGATTTTGTTATGTTCTTATGCCCTGTCCGTTATCACGTGCCAAAATTGCTAATTAGAACACCGATTTTCTTATGCCGCATTATACTACTATGACATGATAATACGATCAATGACCAAGATCTATGCTAGCACTAAACTAGACACTTAATCAATACATTGTACACAAATTCGATCACATTATAACAAATGCACTATTCAGAAATGAATATAGATAACCATAATAAAGACTATATAATACTTTATTCTGCCCAAAAATGCCCTGGTACGGCCGAGAGTTGGCAGAGTCCGCTCTCCCTCTCCAAATGCTCTCACATGGCCACGCGTATACAGCCTCTGCCAGGGAAGTCCTACTCACTGCCTTCTCGTGGCATTACTGTTGTTTACGAAAATGAAAGGACAAAAAGCGAATTTCCGGCTCTTTAACCGGATCCCAAACCAATGATGCACATGGGCTGGCTCTAGGATCCTGAAGGAACAAATGGCGTATGAATCAATTTCTTGGTTACCGGCTACCATGAGACTGCATTTCCTTACGATGCTCCACTGCTTTGTGGATCACACCCTCAGGTTGAAGGCTCAGGGTGTGGACCCTTAAGAAAACCACCTGCTTCGGTCTGGGTACCCGGACAGTATCACAGCCCTCACACATACTAAATGAGGTCTGTGTAGCGCATATGTATTTGGTGCCTCCTTGTACCAATATCTGTGCTAAAACAAAATAAAAAATAATAATACTTTATTCTAAAAAAAATTTCAATCCGTCTACACTCAATGAGTTCAGAGTAGAACTATAGGGAATGAAATCACATATCAAATAGTTAATAAGATGTGTATCTGTTTACCGACGTTTGACTAAGCAATTATGTTCTACTTCTATTAGCACATTTATTTATTTATTCATTTAAACACAAAAAAACATTGGAACAAGGAGGCATCATATAAATATTTGCTATATAAATTACTCGATTTGTGTGAGGGCTGAGATACTACTCGGGTGCCCAAACTGAAACAGGTGGTTTTTCTAGGGGACCACACCCGAAGTCTTTGACCCAAAGGTCTGATCCACAAGACAGTAAATCAACGTGAGGAGATACAGTCCCATGGTAACCGGTGATAAACAATAGATTCATACGTCATTTGTTCATTCAGGATCCTGGAGTTCATATGCACCAACCCAGTTAGAATGGTAGATGTCCCCTCTTCGTCTTCTCAATTTTGTACATAACATCTATGGTGTGAGTAGGAAGCGAATAGAACTTCCCTGGCAATGGTTACATACACGTGTCCATGTGAAAGAGTATTTGGATAGGGAGATCTGACTCTCCCCACTCTCGACCGTACCAAGGCATTTGATAGTACATTAATAATCTCTATGCAATTATATATACATTATTCTTGTCTAAAATTATCATTTATATCAACAAGTTCATTTATTTATTTATTATTATTATGATTCCATAGGTCTTATCAATGTTTTAACACGTAATCCAGCATTAAGAATTGTTACATCAGAAATTCATCCAATTGTACCAAGTCATTTTGGTCAACGTTATTTTGGTACATTTTAATCTAAACTATTACTATATGATAATCTTTCTTTTTCCTTCTCAATCCTTCTATCTCTTCTTTCTTTTCTTTTCTTTCAATACTATTCAATCTTTTATCATATTAGGTTATATAATAACATTGTATTATTTTGTTTAAAAATGTTCTTTACTTCAATTTCAACATCCTTGCGGTAATATCACATATAATTTATGTAGGGTATATTATATTCTGTGTTGCCTATGCACGCACACACATACATACACATACACACACACCCATCTCCTCCCTCCTCTTTGTATCAATATTGATAGATTCAATGTCATATTGATTATTGAATAATAGATATCGATCATTGAATATTGTACATTTCTTTTATTTTTGTTTTCTTTTTAAATATTATTATTCTCTATTTGGTATTATTTCTATTACATAATGAGATCTTTTCTTTGTATACAATGCATGTAATAATGTCTTGGATTTCTGATGTTTAAGTATTACTGTCTCTTATTGCCCCCAAATGCCCTGGTACGGCTGAGAGCGGAGAGAGTCCGCTCTCCCTCTCGAAATGCTCTCACATGGTCATGCGTATATAGCCTCTGTCAGGGAAGTCCTACTCACTGCCTTCTCGTGGCATTACTGTTGTTTACGAAGTTCAGAGGACGAAAAGCGAATGTCCGGCTCTTTAACCGGACCCCAAACCAATGGTGCACATGGGCTAGCTCCAGTATCCTGCGGGAACAAATGGCGTATGAACCAATCGTTGGTCACCGGCTACCATGGGACTGCATCTCCTCACGATGCTCCACTGCCTTGTGGATCAGATCTTCAGGTCAAAGGCTCGGGGTGTGGCCCCCTAAGAAAACCACCTGGTTCGGTTTGGGCACCCGGGCAGTATCACAGCCCTCACACAAATCAATTGAGATTTGTGTGGCGCATATGTATTTGGTGCCTCCTTGAACCAATACAATAATTTCGTATATGCATATAAATATTACTGTATATTAGAGTAAAGCCTGATGAGGATCTAATCGAGAACAATATTGTTCGCTTATATATGTTGTTCCAATACATATGTGTTAAAAATAAATAAATAACTGTCTCTTATTGTTATAACGCTCGGTATTACTTCGTTTAATGTTATATAACGCTTAAATGATTATCTACACTAGATCCCTTCCAGTGTCTATTCTACAGGACTTCAACACAACTCAGATAATCAAGAACACGTAATCAGCCTGATCACAACGTGAATATATTTCCACACCCAATACCGACACAATCCAACAACAATGAACAATCAATAATAAGTGTGTGTTTGACAATAATAAGGATAAGGGAATATATAACTTATCTGACACCTATTAGACTAGATGGTGGTTGGAGGTAATCGACAGGAAGCCCTGGACCCGGGTTTCGTGCTACTTGGCATTCGTCAGCAAGGTGTACCTGTAATCTTTGAGGGAACTGGTGCTCCCTGGCTGATTCGATCCCGTGTCACCCAGCTTGACAGCCAGAGACGTTACCACTGAGCTATTCGGGCAGCGACTGACCTCCTGTAGGACTGAGTTGTAATCACAATTGATTAATCACAGAGTGACCAATGTCATGCATATCTAGTCCTTGCTATATGATCGATAGCATTCGATGTGCATTATTAATAAGGACTAGACACGCATGACATTGATCACCACCCAGTGATCAATCAATTGTGACCTATCAAACTGTCTACATGTCTGACTAAATAGACAACCCATCATGATCATTCTCGCCCACATATCACAATGATAGATAGTGCCAGAGTTTCGTGAATTGGTCGAAGTTAGACATTAACATTGCTGAATGCCAGTTAGTGATCTAGAGGGTAAGTGTTTATGCGCAAGACCAAAGGTCCTTAGTTCGAATCACGCCGTCTCCAAACGCCTTGGTACGTTCGAGGGTAGGGAGAATCAATTTTCCCTCTCGAAATACTTTCACATGGACACGCATATACAACAACTGTCAGGGAAGTCCGACTGGCGAAACTATAATTTATGGACTTACAAATCAGATTTTGAATTTTGGCGTAAAATTTAGACATCCGTTTGGCTAAATAGCGTTTTGACATTTTAGCTTATATCAGTTTGTGATGAAAACCTTAAATCTAATTTCTAACCATCAACTGTAAATTGCAATTCTTGTTCCTCACGCTAGTTCATAATCATCATCTAGTTCTAGTTAGTAAGTAGACATACTGCAGGTCACTTGAGCGTCACTAAAAGGTCGACAATGAAACATAGTCTTACCAGTCCTACATACTGCCTTCTCACAGCACATGTGTTGTTTACGAAATCGACAGGACGAAAAGCAAATGTTCGACGTTTTAACCAGGTTAGTAAACACAGAGCGCACTTAGGGGAGTTGAAAAACCCTCATTCCAAACCAATGGACTTCAGGATCTTGAAGTAACGGATGGCTCGCAAACCAATCGTCGGTCACCGGCTACCATGGGACCGCATCTCTTGACGTTGCTCCATTACCTTGTGGATGAGACCTTTAGGTCGAAGGCTCCGGGTGTGACCCCGTAAGAAAACCACCTGCTTCGGCTTGGGCACCCGGGCAGTATCATAGCCCTGACATAAATCGAATGATTTATTTGGCTCATATCTATTTGGTGCCTTCTTGTACCAATCTTCATGTGTTCAAATAAATAAATAAAACTGTTATATCCCGATTAGAATAATGAATGGTAACTGTTGAGATCTATTTCTGGGCTAACACTATACATATAATTTTACTGTTAAGTAACTAAACCATACATATTCATGTTCGTCCTATTATTTCGACACATAGACTGGAAATAGGGTAAGAAGAGATAAGGACCATTATTAACAGATGTGTTCATAAGAAATGTTGAAAAACTGGCTGATGACCTAATTGAAAACATGCCATTTTATAAGAGATATGTGGACGATGTCTTAGCTGTTTATGAAAGAAAAGAGGATATGTACTGTTTATTGAATAAATTTAACACTCTCCAAAACTATATCAGTCTCTTATGTGAAGAGGAGAAGAACGATCAACTCCGCTTCCTAGATATACTTCTGAGTAGATGAGAAGATGGCTCAGTCAAGCGGTTCATTTTTAGACAACCAACGTGGACAGGTCAATATCTTAATTATTATAGCTATTGCCCTGTACAATACAAACGTGGTTTCATAGGGTGCCTTTTCAATAGGCTTGATCGTATTTGTACAAATGAAGCCATTGATGATGATGTTAAGTTGCTAAACAAAACATTAATAGAGAATGGTTACCATCTGAAATTCATAAATAGATGGAAAGTCCACGGTACAATGAGACCTACTGTAGCCTTGGTAGAAAAAAAGCCTGTCTACATCACCTTACCATTCAGAGGTGATTCAAATAGCCTTTCATTAAAACAGACACTTAAATCAGTCATCAACAAAACGTATTGCACAGCAAAGGTCATTATCAAAGAAAGAACAATGTGCATGCTTCATCCAAAACGTAAAAGACATGAAAACGATTATGTCATATCATGTATGTATGTGGTCACACATAGATAGGGAGGAGCAATCGTGATCTCAACATTAGGGTGAGTGAACATGTACCCAAATGGCTGCAAAAACAAATACAATCAAGTGACCCAATAAGAACAGAAGATAAACATCCATCATCCTCTATTGCTAAACATATAATTGAAACAGGCCATAAGATTGATCTAAACTCGGCTTTTGTGGTATTTTATAAAAGTGTAAAAGAGCGTATACTAAGGTTTATTGAAGCCTTAGTCATACGAAAATCCAAACCCTCTTTGAGTATTCAAATATAATTTGTTCTTACCTTAAACCTACCCTGGTAACATTGACTTATTATCCAGAGTGATTAGGTCTCCTCTTATCCCCAGTTCCAGTCTAGTTGACCTTTTATTTTTATATATAAATGTTGTTAACAAGTATATGTGGTTGATCAGATTGTTTGAAATGTATTATGCTAATCTATCATTACATAGTACTGATAATCTCCGTCTTCTTATATTATATTATCGAAATGTATTAAAGGAACTATTTGAGATTTCTATGTTCCCGACTTAACTGGTAGATAGGGGTTAAGTAAGAGACAGAACCGAGAAGAACTTTACACCGCTCGTACAAGTTTACACATTATTGATCTGATCATTAAATCATTATTCTCTAATTGGCAATATCATTATGACGTCATATATATGTATTGATGATAGGGGGACAAGTTAAAGTATACACAACATAGTTACAATACACTTCTTAATCAAAGAAGAAAACAAAAGAAAAGAAAAACACTCATTAATATGATACAAATATTTAGTTGAAAATGTTCAATTCATTGAAAACAAAAGAGTCAATGATCTTTACAATACAAAAAAAGAAAATGATACTTTTGTTGATCACAATGATTACGTAATACTATGGTTACTATTGATCGATTCATCATTGAAATCAGTATCCATATCTAAAATGAAGAAAAAAAAATCCAATAAATATTGATTATTGTATTGATTATATTTGTATAAAAGTTTATTGATAAGATGTATATTGATTACGTAACAGAAATGAATAAGCTATAATTCATCATGTTAAATATAATTACTAAATAGTAATAGTGATCAGTATACTATTCTATTCATTCAGCCTGAAGACCCTCTAGGTCTACTGCCAGTCTCAAGCCTGAATAAAGGAGGGGGTTTGGGGTTGGGGTTACCGATCTCCTCGCGTAGAAAACGAACTCGCTAAAAAATTGTCCTTGGTACTAGTTGTATTCATTTAACCAAGATATAGTGTAATCACTACTTATTTGTCAAAGATAGGATAGCGCATTAGTTCGGCACGGTAAAAACGTTAGATCCTTTCAAAACGGTTTGACGTTTTGTTTCAACGACTTTGAACGGTTTGACAAGAGGTTTTTATTTCGTATTTTGAGATATTTTAGTTGTAAGAAAATAGCGTGACTATAATTGATGGACGAACTAATCAGGTAAAAGATAACAGGTTTCGGATTTTGGCCCCGAAATTCACTTATTCATTTGGATAAATAGAAAGTTTTGGCATTATAACTGATGTCGGTTCGTGATGAAACATCTGTAATGTAATTTCTAACTTTAATCATCAACTGGCAATCATAATTTTAATTCCTCACAAAGGTTTATAAACCTCATTCGATCCTGGCTATTAGGTGGACACTCTCAAATTCAGTCTGGCGTCGCTCAATGGTCATCCATAGATTATAGTCTCACCCAAGTAATTTTTCTGTAATAAATGACATTACTGTGTATGATCGAAGAAGTGTACTAATGATAAGTCTCGGGACTAGGACAAAATGCTTACTAATACACTCTCCCTCCCCCTCTTTTTGCACTCTGGTTTTTAGTTCTTCTATAGTTAAGTTGGTTTTGTAATGCAAAAAATTGGTTTACATGTTGACATAATAATGTTATAATCAATAGTACACTACTTTTTCTTCATGTCTAAAATCTAACGTAAAAGATTAGTTTGTCTTTTCTAGTAGAGATTACCATTTTCAAGAAGATAACATGTCAACGGAGACAAATTGAAGTCAATCTTTATTATGAATGATCCAAAAATATAATAATAATTGTACAAATCAAAAGCTTTCCTTACACGGTAGCTTAGAATAGAAGGCATATTCCAAGTCCCACTACTGGTTATATTCCAAAAGTATAACAACTACGATTGTTTTGCTCAGTTAGTTGATTTGAAACTTAATGAATCAGTTGTATCTGTTTCTAAACATTTAATAATAAAAATATATCATGCTATGTAGAACAATCAATTGAATAGAATTCATCACTCTACATCAACTTCATTTGATAGCGTGGACAGGACAACACTATGGAGGCTTCTTCTACACTACGGCATGCCTGAGAAGATAGTCAATATCATACGGAATCCCATTGGTGGAT